ATTTTTTAAAATAAGGATTTCAGGCCAGTGACACCATCCTAATATTCCTGACAACAAAGCAATGTTTTTAATTCAGAAATGTAAAACATCACAGACGAGGTGTGTTCGACCCCTGAACACAAAACCACGGAAGCGCGCGTTTAGGTTATCTGATAACTTTATTACCAAGTTAAAAAAAGACAATGAATTACAATATTTACAGAATACAGAGAAATCAAAGGGATAAAACTGTAAACACCCAGTCTAGTCGACATCACAAGCCACCGTCAGAAATCATCAGGAGTTTCACAGAAGAAAGGCCAAACGCAGGAGATCTAGTCAAGGTCAACGATGGCGCACTTTAATTAAAGGAAACGATAGAAACTAAAGCGCATCTATTTACAGATATCCAGTGTGTTACGATAGCGGACGCCACCGACTCTTCAAGCCGTATTTCTGATGCTTCTCTACACGCTTCTTCAGAAAAATGCTGCCCTACTCCTTATGAAGGACATGGAGGGGTTTGAGCGTACAAAAGAGTTTTTTTTATTGTTTTTTATTCTTAACCAGACAATTTACAACAGCTTTGAACAGTGGAGAGCTAAAAAACAAACAGAAGAAACGTCTTCTATCGATTTGTATTTTTATTTCTTTCTATTCTTCTCTTTTTTTTTGTTTGTTAAGTTAAATATCAGAACAACACTTACAGGAACAGACCCCTTTCTGAAAGAGAAGCCACAGTTTCAAACACTTACCGATGAGGAGCTTCGAGTTTATACATGGCATGCAGATTCCCCAGAATGCATCTGGGTCGGCCCTCAGCAATGCCCAGTCATTTCTCGGGAAAGACAATCATATCTCAGGAAAACTTTGGAAAGCCACACTTTTGGTAGCGAGAAGAGGTTTGTTTGCTGTTTCCGTGTGTTAATTAAAATGATGGTTTTTCATTGAGAGCTTCTGCTTGGTGGATCCAGAAGGGAAGCGTTCGGAGCCCCAAACATCCGCGTCGATAAGGCTTTGGGGTTTCGAGCAGCAGCTTCCATCACGTACAATCTCAGCCTTACGCTACGACGGCTTCATGGCGTTTCTCCAGAAACACGACGGTCAAACGAGTGTCCAGAAACGACAGGAGCCTCGTTCTGCTGAACATCTCGTTTAAAGGAACAATCCGGGTTCAAGAACCAGAATCGCTGCTGTTTTCGCTCGCCCTTCGGCTTCAGTAAATCACGTTTAGAGTAAAACACTTCTGTCGATCGAGTATCTACGTTCCGGTGCAAAATAGAGTTTTAGTGAGTTTTTAAGAACTAACTCGGGAAATTTCAGAGCTGCGTGCACTCAAAAAATATTTAGGGCTAAATTAAATATTTAAGCATTTGGATTACTTATAAAATGTACACAGTTTTAATGTAAACTAATACATTTAATGTGATGCATACTTGGCAGTCGTACATAATGAAACAGGCCAGATTTCTGTAATTGTACTAATAAACTAACAAATTAATAATAATGAATAATCAACGTTTATATATTCATCCTCAATAAATTCGATTTCTTTCTCTCATGCATTTTAAACTGAATATTGCTTGTTCAGCCGCTAGTCATATTTAACCATGTTCATACTTTTTAACATTATAAATGTAATATTTATTCTGCTGCTAATAACAGATGTATGCTGTTTCTAAAGGATTTGAATGTATGCATTTTGGAAATATGATTATGTAAATGAAATCAAATAGTTGTAAATAGTTATTAATAAACTATGCTGTGTTTTTGTTACATATATATATATATATATATATATATATATATATATAT